AATTCAGGCTTCTGTAGCAAAGAAACAAGACAGGAAACAATACACACCTCTTCGCGGGAGAAGACCATAGCCTAATTGGCATTGGAGGGAAACTATAGGTATCCGCCTTTTAAGAAAATCGTTCAAATTGACTACCTTAAGGGAGTTTCTATGCTGTAAAACTCTTTATGGTGGCCAAGTTAGATTACCAACTTATTAATTGATAAAACCAAATCATTCCTAAGGACGGAGAAGCGCACAGTTAATATAGAAACTTACCTCCTTTTAATAATGGAACAAATGTGCTCGATGTAGCATTGGGAGTATGGACCCATATGGAAGAGACACTCAGTTCAGGTGTCTTTGATGTATTTATCGCCTGTGGAAAAAAATTAAATCAATACAGCTACATGTGAGTATTAGCTGAGCTACTTACTAGGTCCAGTATTTCAATTGTTTTATATTCGTTTTATTTGTCGGTCGCAAACTTCAACCAATTAGGTTGCTACATGTTTGATATCAACACTGCAATAGTGCTTTTACCAGGCGTTGATAATCAAGCATCCAAAGGTGTCTCAAGAAGAAATACAATAACCAGAAACGGAGCATCTTTTTATTACTTAATGGGCTAATATACTAAAACCTATTATTATGACGGAAGAAGATGAAAAAGATGGAAAAACGAAAAAACTTTATTAAGAAGCATATGAGAAATTCTGATGAAGGCCTCGGCAGAAGAAAAAAAAACAGGCAAAAAACAAAGCAACAGATATTAACAAAGCTCTTCTACCACATAATCGAATGACGCGCAAATCTAAGATAATTTCCCCGGAAAATCGGCTCAGGATATCCCGAACTTCTTTGAGTGGACAGAATATTTTGCTAAGACAATAACCTGTTAAATATGCAAGCTATCAAGATATGGTAGTCGTAACACTGAGTAACATGACCAATAAATCAACCGGTACTAACTTCTCATGCATTTGTTTTCTGTCACAGATATCATGTTTAACACCAAGGTAAGCTTTAAGAACAAGTTTCAAAGCAGGTGAAAAAAGAATGCTTAAGGGATGGTATTTTTCACACACTTTTCAGATTCTTTTCATGGGAACTTAAATAGACAGTTTTCTAAAACATATGCACTTTTTGATGATAGAAGCGTTAAAACCGTGTGGATACTGTGCCTAAATTTTGAGCGCACTTTCCAAACCTCCTCGTCAGAAAAATTTTGCGCTGCAAGTTTTAAATTGCCACTAAAAACACGAACATGGAAAGTCAAAGAAAAAAAAAAACAATTTGACCCTGAATTGCATAAGAATTACCCGGAATACCGCTGCCACGAACAAGGTATCCCATAACAATTTTTTCACTTGATCCCAGCTTTCCACATGAAAATGAGGGGTCATTCCTTGGGGCAAGTGAGTGGTCGTGTAGATATGTACGATTGCGCCTTAAAGGCTTAGCAAGGGAAGGTCCAATCGTAGAAGCGCGTTAAGGTTTACATCAGAATCTTACCTGGACATTTAAAGTGATCATAGAATGAATTGTTCGTCGGAAACCTCCCACGTCAATTTGACATCCGTATGTGTTGCTATCCGAGTAAGTCAGATTCTCCAACTTATAGGCCAAATACGACTTTGATATGTTTCCTGCCCAAGTGACTCGCCCGACGTAACTTGGATGTTTCTTGCTCAACTGAGGATTATGAATCACTCTTCCCTCCTTGGTTACCGTCATAAGATAATGCGTGGTATAACCATCCACCCAAAGGCCAAAAATGAACCCTGTTAGTTCTATTTTGTCCTCATCTTGAAGATGAAAATCCCATTCGAAGAGAAAACTTGCCCCCTCTGTCCTTGTAGCACTGGACTGTCTCGGTTGGATGGTACTTAAACCTTGTCAGAATTGAAAATAAAAGGCTAATATATTTAACGTTGTTTCTGTACACGTAACCTTTCTCCCCTATCCTATTAAGTTTGTCTGGGTCATTTATCTAAGACATTTTTTATAGCTTAAATAAACAGGCTATTTTTGGGGGAGTCACGGTTAAAGACTATTAGAGGGTAACTTAACCTCCCTCTCTCGTTTTGTTCCGAGAAGATCCATGTTTTACTGGATTTATCTCGTCATAGAGCTACATCGACCATGAACGAAAGCAAAAATTATAATTCAAATACAACTTGTATTCATTGGAGAAAGTCAAGGTCATAATTGAGAGGTACGAGCGGCAACAAATCGAATCATATAATTCGAATCGCGAATTTTGCTTTAACTTCAGAGCATCAGTCAGTGAATTTGTCTGAGCAGTTGAACCAACTCTCTGCCGAAGTTTATTCAAACACCGTTCTTCTCTATATAATAAGCTCAGTTATGCACGCGTTTTGATTGGTTCTCACTTATGATCTATTGGAGGACAGGCGTATAGATGACGTCATTAAAACTTTTTAAAATTCTTTATTATATAAAACAAATAGATTCCAAGTTGCCGTGCGTCTATTTAGAGATTGTCTGCGTAAAAATGTCGTTTATCGTATAACTGAACATAAGTGCTTCACAAGGATTTCCGGCCCTGACAAAAGTCGTAACAGCACACGCGAAACTCGGTCAGGTCAGTTGATGAATAAACTGAAAAGCCTTCAAGATTCTCGATACTAGGTAGTTTGTCGGAACCTCCTAGAAGGATAAGAAAACCAACATACGAAAATGAAAACCGTAAGTTACGTATCTAGTGGCTTTGGTGATGGCATTTCTCGCGGCTTAGAACGAAGCTGGATGAATGTAAGATTTGCCACAGACCGATTTTGGCCGTTTACCCGAAAGACTTCTTCTGTCGGTAAGGACAAAGTCATTAAATGAGAATTTTGTAAATTGAAAATTACGCCAATTGTTATTTTTGTATTCATGATTCAACGCATTTTCCATCTTGAGCCTATTGTCGACTTTTCTTGTCAGTAAAGGGCTATTGTGTTTATATGATAAACAAATTAATACATGGTTGCTTGTAGATATTAATTTTTCACTACTCGTGTTCAACTCGGCATCTCACTCGTCCGCTAAGCTCACTCGTGAGCTATCGAGTTGAACACTCGAGGAGAATTCTATATCAGCATGAGCCATATATTCTTCTCTATGTATATTCATAGCCGAACACGAAGAAGATAGGAAGTATTGTTTCTACAATTCACGTCTCACCGATGCTAAATCTAAACTTCCGCTTTCGCTAAACCAGCAATTATCCACTTGAAAATTTACACGGTGTGATTCACCACAATACCCCTTAAAAGCGTTCGACGCTTGATCTACGCATTTTTATGACTGAACTTACCTTTTACGAGAGCTGGCACGAAAAATAGATAGAATGGGACGTAAAACCCGATAAGCCTCATTCTTGATGCCCCTTGGCTTCGTGAAATGACGATCTTTACTAATCCATATCGGTTTCGACGAATCTGCAGTTCCTTCTTTTCCGAGAAAGAGCACGTGCCGTCTAGTTCTTGAAATCTCCGCTTACTTGACAATAGGGAAGCGATCATGTGCCTAGCTTAGAAAAGAAGTTAATTGGTATAAAAACTTACGTTAACAATATTATGGTGATTGATGTTAAAAAAAATATACTTTAGAGCTCTGTTTTGATTTTTTAATTTCTTTTGTAGCCATCTTTTTCGCCTGTCACGTATGGATGAGCTCGTTGCGTGACTTGCCTTGAGGAAACAAAACAAACAAACAGCCGTTAAAAGGACAGACTTTGTCGGTAGTGTACTCTTAGCTGCTTTGATCGGCGTTATTTTTTTTTTACTTGAGTCTCGATCCTTAAATAGACCCATTTCCTGTCCTTTAAATTAGGTCGAACTTGATAGCAAACCAGTTGGTAGAATTGCTCTTCAGTTCCCCCTAGGTTTTTATCCCCTCCTCTAAGTTGCTCTAAATTTTCACGGACAGACGCGATATTTATGGGTTTATCATGAGAGTTACCCTTGAAGGTCGTATTATTTACGATCATCTAACATATCAATGCTTGTGCTTTCCACCATCTATGACTGATGAATCCTTCGAAAGATAATGATGTTATTATTAAAAAAATAACAGGTATATGAAACGTTTGACGGAACAAAAATAAAGATGACCCTTGACTCACAGAACGCTGAGTGCAAGGTTTGGAAAAAAAAAAAAAAGAAAAAAAAAGAAAAGGAAAGAAAAACCATTCCACTTTTTTAATAAGCTCGAATTTGATTGGTTCCAAGAGATAATAAACTGGTATTCTCTTGGGGGTTCCTGACAGCCCCTATTATGGCTTTTCAAGTCCTAACAGTCTTATTTTATCTGTTTCTCAATCAAATTAGGGTTAATCGTGCTTGTGATTTCTAATCAGCCTCGCGCTATTCGCTTGGCCAATTTGAAACTCCTCGCCCAGTTACAGTTTATTCCATCCATTTTCAAATCACTTGTGATCCTTGCAATCTGTTTGTCTCTCTCTCTCTAGTGAAATTTATTCACAAATCGCATTATATTATGCTCTTGATGGCATCTTTTCTTCACAGCCTTACTAAAACACGACAGCTAATCAAATTTCAAGGCTTGTTGAGAGAAACCAATCAAATTGCAGGAAAATGAGAGACAACTTTTACACCTTTGTATAAACCAGTCTACTAGACAGGATCAAGAAAATATTTGTACAGAATAAAAATTTTGCTTCTTAAAAATGGATGTAATGAAATGGTAATTAAACTTCGTGTCTTGCAATTTTGATATGAAGTATATGAAATATCATACTTGTGATTTAAATCAAACTCGCGCTTAGAGTTTATGATATCACGCGTATAGTTTCAGACCAAATTGCGCTCCTTTCAATTCAATTACCTAAAGAAATTGTACTCCACTAAGCACACTTTCCCAAAATATTCGGAAATAGCAACAGCATCGTTCCATCGTTGTTTCGCTCTTCACTAAAATCCCAGTTGATCTTGCCGTTAAGGTTGCGGAGGAAAGACTCAGAGAAGATGCTTCCCTAGGAAAAAGAACTTCTTTGCCTGTGGAGGATATTATTCATCTGCTGTCTTTTTGCCTCAAAACCACGCAATTTACATATAACGGCACATACTATCAACAAGTTTTTGGTACAGCTATGGGTTCGCCTGTTTCTGCTGTCATTGCTAACATGGTAATGGAAGACGTGGAACAAAGGGCCTTAGCCACTTCACCGGTTAAACCCTTTTTCTGGAAATGATATGTCGATGGTGTTATTTCTGCGGTATCCGGAAATGAAGCGGAGCGCCTCTTGTCGCATTTGAATTCAGTAGAGCCGTCGATCCAATTCACCCTTGAACGTGAAAAGGATAGACATTTGCCCTTTCTTGATTTAGATGTGTCTAGAGGGGTTCAGGGTAATTTAGAGACAAGTGTCTACCGTAAACCCACCCATACCGACAAATACCTCGCTTTCGATTCTCACCATCCTATTTGCCATAAAAAGTCTGTAGCCAAAACTTTACTTAGGAGGGCTGATTGTCTACCATCATCACTCGATTCGAAGGCTGAGGAGAGGAAATATGTCTCCAATGTCCTAAAGACAAATGGCTATACAAAAACTTTTCTCCGTAACTGCCAAAAACCAGTTACAAATAGTATCGCTCTTGATGAAAGGGAAACCAGCGACTGGTTTTGCTGTTATTCCTTACATACAGGGTGTTACTGAACCCATCAAGAGAATTTTGAATAGCCACAACGTTAAAGTTGCTCAAAAACCTTTTCAGACTTTGGGGCATATTTTCGCCAAACCTAAGGATCCTGTCACGAAAGAACAACGAACCGACGCCATTTATTCTATTCCTTGCAATGACTGTGATAACGAATACATCGGACAGACCAAACGCCAGTTTGGTACACGGTTAAAAGAGCACCAAAAAGCGGTTTTTCTTTGCAAAAAGGAAAATTCAGCTTTATCGGAGCATACTTGCCTAGCCAACCATACAATTGGGTGGGATAATTCTAAAATTATCACCACTAATCGGCGTTACCACCAGCGCCTTTGTTTGGAGGCTTGGCACATTAACTCCGCCCACGCTCCTTTAAATCGTGACGATGGCGGTCTGCTTCCTGACGCCTATTTACACCTCGTCAGAAAAAAGGCCGCTAATTAGTGATCATGTAAAAGGACCTCTTGTTGCAGCGTTTAGATCACCCCTGATGAAGGCACTAGACAGGAGTGTCGAAACGTTGGGTCTATGAATTGTAACTTCTTCGGTTACATTCATTAAATCTGCAAACCAGTGTAGCTTCAAACTATGTCTGAGCATCGTTCCAATTTTTACAATTTATCCAATTATATATCAGGTTTGTTCAGTGAGCTTCTTTTTCAAAACTTGCGTATAATTACACGCTGACTGATTCTAAGCGTAAGATATAAATAAGGAATGTACTTTAGGAAATTGAAGGTGCCAAAACGCGAGTTAAACCGTAGATTTAAACTGGCGAGAACAATGCTAACCCGGGCTTAGCTGGAATAAATGATGAATATATGTCTGACAATTATCTGTGCACTGATTAAGCATCGAAAAGGCTGCCAAATAACTTTTTACTTTGACTTTACAACGAAAGACTGATATAACATTAAAGTGGCTTTCTATTGTCAACTCCGATCGCCAGCTCAAATATTTGTGTTACTAATAAATGGTAATTACTAATTTATTAAGTTACTAATGGTAATAAAATAAATGATAATGTCAAAAAATACCGTATATTTTAAGGAGAGATAGAGGTTTTTTTGTAGCTGATCATGATGAGTTCCACGAGTGAGTTCTTTATCGCGCGTATCCCATTCACTAACATAGGGCAAGACTTTGGAAATAAAAATTCAAACAGTCATGGATTAAACAAAATCACCCGCGAATCAAAAGTAACAAGTTTTAAATTTCGATTCACCCCGAGGGCGAGAAAGATTCCACATCAGCAGACAAACCATGTCCTGGTTGCGACTTCTCCGGCTGCGAAAGAATATTTATGCCGCCATAATTACAAGTAACTCAAACATCTGCCGGACAGCGTGTAGATTCTGAGGTTTCTAAGTGCTCTAATAAACAAACCTTTGGATCTCAGTATTAAGCTCGATGAAAAGAAGACATTTAGAAGAATTATTCCCAAAGAAATGTGCATATCAGGTTGAAACTCCGCTACAAAATGAATCAATGTCGATTCGGCGAACAGTTGACTGTCGCTCAAGAGTTGACTGAAAGAGTAAATTTAATTACTTGGTCAGGTCCAATGATAAACTAAGGTTAGCGATGACGTCAACAACAAAAAAGTCACACAACATCCTCTTTTAACTTAAGTTAAGTGACCCTTTTAAGGGATAAGAGGTAGGAAAGTGTTTTCCTCAGGAACGAATCTCACATGTTTTAAACTATCTATGAATCTTTTTATTAGCTGTTTCATTTTATTAGCTGTTTCGATGATCAAGTTATGCTCTATCACTTTCTGGCCCGATTTAATTTGCAGTTTGTAAATCTTCTCCACATTCTTATATTAGTTGCATGACCAGCGTGACACATACAAATTCAAAGATGAATCAACCTCTGAATTACCAAGAGATGGGTTTTTTTCTCTCTTTTCATATCTATAAAAACCTTCCAAGAATTACTGTATTCAGAAAACTAAAATGTCCAGATCCGTCAATGATTCCTTTGCCGGCGGAAGTCAAAGAATGCTTACAAAAGTCAATTCGATTGACAAGCTACATAGCTAATTGATCTGCGGTATAAGCGTCTCATCTTACATGCTAACAAGGAGATTTGCTGATCATTTAAATCGTTCGCTGGTGGGACTTTTGGGTATAGTTATCGAGAAGACCGACGTTGCATATCTCTGGTCGTTCCCTTGCGTAGTTGTAAAAAAGACATTTCAAGTTACTTGCGGAAATCCAGAAGTTGATCTTATTTTGTCGCGAGCCGGCAGCTGCGAGACGCCAAAAGATATCGATGATTTCACAATTTGCCCTACCCATAGATCAAATCTCGATACCGGTGTTGGGTGGATTCGCGGTGCCATTAGTAGATGTAGAGTGCCTAAAGAAGTGTGCGGCCATGGTAAAGGTAGGGTTCAGTCGATTCCAAATGCCTATAGGGAATTGGCACAGATAGTAGGTAAGACGTCTGGAAAATTCGTATAACCTGGCCACTTACCACCTTGTGCAAAATTACGCGTCCCGTCAGAAATAGGGCTCAACTGGGAATTGGTCAATAGGCTACCAAAAATCCAGACAGAGGCGGAGTTTTCTATTCTAATGTCTGAGCACTTTGTAGGCTTCCCGCCGTTTGGCGGGACGCGTAATTAAGCACACAGTGGTAAAGGGCCCTTCCGCAGTAGCTACAAGACGCTGACAAAACTTTTTTCTCTTTAGCGAAAATCACATCAAAATCTGTCCTTGCTAAATTTCAAGTGTGCTGTACGTATCAGCACCCCCCGAGGAACCCCTACACATAAAAGGGCGAGGATGCGCGCCGGAAATTTCGGAAACGACCCCTATAAAATTATAAAAGGTACCCGAGTCTTATGGGAGTGGCAACAACTGATATCTACCCCTAAAAAGTACCATTTCAACACAAAAAATTGAAAAATCCCAAAAATAAGAACTCCTCTATCGATGTGCTCCAGAGGCTCAAGTCAGATCTTTAAAATCGTCCTAGTAGTGCCTATTTCAGGTATTTATTGAGCGAAAAACATCCTAAAAGGTACCAGCTGGATCTCTGGTAGTCCACTAAAGTTCGAGACACCATAAAAGGTACCAGATCACTGATTCTGACCCCTGAAAGGTACGAAAAGCATCCTCACCCATTTCCGATCGCCTTCCTCCCCTCCCCCATCAACCCTGTTAAAACAAAAGATGTGGTTTGCCAACTACGAGCTGTCAGTCTCACCTCGTAAAATTCACGTGAACTGGTTAGTAACTTAAAAAAACTTTTAGGCGCTAATCTGTCAGATTTTTATGCTGACAAAATCTGTCCTGCTTCGAGGTAGGACGGCTGTACTTTTTTTTGATTTATTCGTCTTGACATAACTGTAAAATAACTGTACGTCTGCATTTATTAAACAGACTACTCAAGTGCATCCACAACTCGATGTGTGCACTTATACTGCATTAAGTATTCTTTTGGAACATAGCCAAAGATCTTGCGATGTCTACTGTTCCAGCCTTTTTTTCTTTTCAAAGAGGCATCAGAATTATTTTTATGTCAAATTTGAAGT